GAGCAGCCGCCGCGCCGTGGCTTTGGGCGCGCGCCGGAGGTTACCGGTTGGTAGGTGGGAGGAAGGAACCCTTTTGAAACACACCCATGCCAAACTTGGCGTTCTGTGCCTCGTGGCCCGGCTGAGATTTGTAAGAGAGGAGTTCGGGGTTGGACCGGCACGCGAACAGCCATGTTCACCACCCCGCTGGCATGTCGGATGCCGAGAACTGCCGGTCGCCTGCGGCGGCTAGAAGAGTACGCACACTTGCAGGTGCGTTCTCTGTAGCAACTAACAACCTTAAACTGTAAACCGCCATGTAAGCAAGCGAGCGCTTCCAGTCAGCAACTTCACTGATTGTAAATCAAGCTTATCTTTTCTGTAAGCAATAGAGAGCTTCAGCTCCTGGTTTTTCAACATGATGAGTTCAGAGTTCTTATGCATGGGCGTAGGAACAAGGAGGGGGGGGGGGGGCAGGTGGGCCACGCCCCTCCCCCCCACATTTTTCAAGGTGTGGGAGCCAGCAGTGTTAACTGCTCGCCCCCCCCCCCCCCCCCACTTTTCAGATTATGGTTGTGTTCAGCTTACTTTTGCACCACATTTAAATATGCATGGCCATTTACGTAGTCCGCCAGCCATCTTCCTCAATATACGTCATCTTTTTCGTTTGCTTATTGGCCATCGCTTAGTGTCGCAGCCGCAGGCCGACTCCACGCGACCTATGGAGACTGCAACGCTGGGCGTTCTGCCTGTTGTTGCTATGACTTTCGAGCGCGTATATTGAAAACCATATTGCACAGTTTTTATCAGTAATCAATTCTGACCGAATCTTGAACATTTTAAGACGAGCATGGATTAGCCATGTTAATACAAGCTTAGGGCCCATTTCATCTACAATCTACGTTCTGGGATTCCTCATATCTCTGAAGAAAACAGAAAAACATGGAACTGGAGCCTGTGTGGCAATTATTGGACCCCCTTTAGCGATTAGGGATGTTCTTGCGTCAATGGGGGTTCCTGTGCTGATCCGGAACCAACTGCGTGGGTCAGGAGGCCTCCCGTGTGAGGGAGGGAAACAATGTGATATGATATATCCTTCCAATGGCCTCCGGATCGACCAGGAGATCCTGCCCCGTGTCGCGAGAATGACAGCCAGAATACACTTCGCGATGGGACGGAGTGAACCTTCAGCTCTTGACCGGAACCGGAAATGTGCCCTTATGTTCAACTCGAGGGGCCCCTTGCCCGGAAGGAAATAAGGGGCCTCATTATTATTGAGTAGGGTGGAGGTCTCATTATTGCTGAGTAGAGTAGGTCGAAGTGAATTTGTAAAAAAAAACATTGCACATTAAGGACAGCGGCTATTTATTCCACGCGGGCGTTAAACGCCTGATTTCTGCAGTTCATTGACCTTAACACGCGCTCGGGCGGGGGTCAAATTGACTCGTCCCCCGAAGGTTTTTCCAGAATGGTTTCTGAACGGCGAGGCGCAGCCGCGCCATGTTCTGCATACCTGTAGACAATTGAATAGCGGATCGTTTGGCATCAACAATTTAGATGTACTTTGTAAGTTTGCTGACCTATGGCAGGTCAAAATCAGGCGATGGTTTTGGCGAAGTCAGCTTGAAGGGAATCGTTCAGTCTGATGCAGCAATGGAGTGTTAGACGGAGCCATACATGTCTTAGATGCTTTCTTAGGGAAGACAAGTATTGAATGAGCAAATTAAGTTGACCTAAGGTCAGGTATAAAGGTCAGACCAACCTGTTTTATTACTCTAGGGCTTGCTGTATGGGGTAGCTTTTTGTGCTCATTTCGGATTTGTTGATAGCAGGAACCGCATTATACATCGTCCATGGACTTCTTAGAGGTCAGAATAGGTCATTGACCTAAAATGACCTAGGTCAACATTTTGTTTTTAGAAGCATACTGTCTAGCGTAATCTTTCTCGCTGCTTCAAATGCAAAACTCAGAGCAGTCTTGTATGATTTGGTCACCATGACTTTTAAAAGGTCAAACAAGGTCACTGACCTTAAATGGGCATGTAACTGTAGCGGCACGAGGTCAAAACCTAGTCGTGTGGGTCACCAAAAGATGGCGCCAACGGGTGTTGTTGTGTGTGTGGCATTGTGCGTCGGGTGAGAAATGTGTGCGTCCCCATAGCTTCGCTGCTCCGTTGATGTTAGGCAATGATATTAGTGATATGCCTACCACAGAACGGTTGACAGTATGGCCATTGTTTAGCTGCTATTGGCATATTGACTGCCGGAACTAGGCAGATGCTTGCTACTGTCAGGTGTGGTAGTCGAACCGGGCCATATCGCTAATATACTTTTTGTGCAACCTGACAGCGCAGTGTTCTTTCCTCTCCGTGAACCGTCCCTCTCTGGACGCGCTTCCCTGTCTGTCAGTCCGGGCCGGCATCACCTCGATGCCGGCACCGAAGTTTCAAACCGGACCATCATGACTAACGCAGAAATGCTAGTCCCGGCCACTCGGCCGCAACCAGTCGGTTGACAGCCCGAGTCCTGAGGTGCGGACGATTACACTTGTGTCGCACCGCACGGGGGCTCTGGTTGTTAACTGACGAAAACAAGGGCAACTACTGCCACATTTTTTCTTTCTTCGCCGAATATAGTGACGTGCGCGACATGACGTGTTGCTTAGAAACAGTTATCTAGGTTCTGGGGGCACTTTGGATACCAACCTGGATTTCGACCTTGTTTGACCTTATTTAACCCGAAAGGCATGACCTAGAAATCTCAAAATCTGACCTAAGTGAGTTCACGTGCAGGCCAATACACCCTGTGAATTTGTTGTCTCTGGCTCTTTTAGTTCCCTAGATCTTGAGGGGTTCAAAATGATCACCCACCCGAGCGAAGGGTATCTAGCCGGCCACCCGGGCGTGTGACAAAAATGTAAACAGAATTGATTTCACGGTAACTTCTGGTTTCTGTTCTGGTGGCAACGTAAAAATAACAGTGAAACGAAGAAAACCGTGTCCCTTGTTAACAAGCTAACTATATCCGGGGATATTTTTGTGGGGATCGCCGTTTTCTCAACCCTGTGTTTCTCTCAGCAAGGCTCTGGCTACCCCCTGCCTACACACAAAAGCTGATAAAATAATCTACGTTGGATGGCTGGCAATTGAATGTCCGTTGGGCCAATTTATACCTAAAGTAGGCAGCTTACCGGCGGCATTTTTCTGGGGTGGTGTGGTGGAAAGGAAGATAATTCGGAAAAAGATACTTTTGCAGGAGTCCAACACATGTTTTACATCCCAAGTAGTAGCAATGCTGACCCAGAAATGTGAAATAAAGCAGCCATATTATCAATTCGCGGTCAGTCATTCGGAGACAGCCGGGACAGGACAGTGGCCACCGACGGCAGACGGGAGCAGGTTTCAGAAAAGGAATATAAAACAGAAGGGCCTTCATTCTGCGGCTCGATTTTCTTGCTTTTGATTTTGTCGCATGGTTTTTGGAAGTTTTAAGCTTCCGAATTTGTTTCCGCCTAAAATGCCGCGACAAGTCTTATTTGTTGAAAAGCAGCCAGCGAAATGAAGGCGCATGCAAAATCTGTTGCACTGTAAGCTATCTTTTTTTTCTTTCTTTCTTTTTTTAAAATTTATCCCGAATGGTTTGTATGGGTGATTTCGGATTCAGAGTACCTGCTAAGCATAGCTTGTTGCGTGTACCCCGAACCCACCACCCAAGCGTGCCGTCCAGTTCAACAGCTAATTTTGCCTCCGCCCTTTCGCCGGACAGGAATGCGGAGGGTTTTACGTGCCGCACAATGCTGCGACACGGCCGCCTCGGGTCTGGGTTGACCCTCGTTGGCCAGTTGCCAGCTGGCCTTTCCGTTTCAGTCGGGTCAAACAATGCGCCCACTCTGGGACTCGTACCCAGTGCCGCTGGATTACGAGTCCAGCATCCTTCCCCAAGACCACGGAGGCGGCTATCGATTCACTTTCCAAATTTTCACCGGCCTATGCTCAGGCCATAGTTTGGCATCTACCCTGTGGAGACAGACGCCCCCTCAATGTCCCAAAATGCCTACCCACTCGTGGAATTTCGGCTCCCCAAGAAAGACAACGTTGAAATGGACGAATAATCTTGGGAGGCTGGATGGCCTTATTTCCCGAATAACATAGACGATTCGCATAGGCAAGAGTGTGCACCAGTGAGAAATAGCTCTAGGTGCATATCTAGGATAGCAGTCATAGTCGAATAAAGAACGGTAACCGCCATCCCTACCCTCCTCCCCCGCGGTCATCGGGCTTGTTTTCCAGAAAAAGTTCCTGAAGTACGCCCTGAGATTGCCCCCCCCCCCACACTTTTTGAAACGTTCCTACGCCATGTTCTTATGTTAAGCTTTCGAACTTTCGACATACTAGGAAGTGCTGGCTACACAATGCTATTTCGCAAACGTTGGTAATATTGGTGGCTCTCGACGTTCCAAGCTGGGCTTGCGATTACGAACAAAAAGGATTGTGCAAGGTTGAGGAGAAAGACATTTAAGGTTAAGACACGTGAATCCAGAAAATGCTCTGAACACGTGTAGACATTGCTCACAAAAGATGCCGGAAGTAGTCGAGCTCCTAGCTCCCGCATCCTTACACCGACCGCACGGTTCCGCGTTAAGGGCCGCGCAAAACACGGGCGGCCAAGCGGGCAGGATACGATAACTCAGCGCAGTGCTAAAAACCGAGCCAACATGAGTGAGCTTCGGCGAGATTAACTTCGGAAAGAGTTTGCGAATTTTGTCTTTGTCTACAACAGCCCTTCTGTGTGCTCGCGTGCTATCTGCCCTGATCACGACGCAGTGCTGCTGCCAGTATGCTCGTTGCGTCCGCGCCCGACGGCCCGTGCACGAACGTCATCCGCGACCGAGTGGCGCTCGGCCGCTGACAGCCCCGAGGCTCGGCCGCTGACAGACCTGAGGCTCGGCCGCTGACAGCCCTGGGGCTCGGCCGCTGACAGCCCTGGGGTGGGACCACTGACCCACCCCGTCCCTGCCGCAGGAGGCCCGGCCGCTGAGCCGTCACCAGTCGCTCAAGATGGAGTGGAGACCGCGTGGGCGAGGCGGCCGGCCGCCGCGCCGGCCCGCCCCGCCGCCGCCGTACCTGCCGTTCGCCGGCCCGGCGTCGCTCGGCTGGCTCCTGCCGGCCGTGGCCGGCCAGCTGCCGCTGCCACCGGGCTCGGCGGCCGCCGGTGTCTGGAGACAAGCCCTGGGCTTTCATCCGAGTGCGGCCGGCGCGCTCGGCTTCACCGGCTCGCCGGCGCTGGCAGCGGCGGCGGCCGCCGCCAGGTTTCCGCTGGCGGTGCGTGCTCCCAGCCAGGGACCTGGGCTGGGGTTGAACCCGGTGAGAAACCAACCAGCCTCACCCAGCGTCACGTTTTTATGGTCATGTTGGTCACGAGGTATTTTGTTGCACGATTAGTCGTTTTAACAGTACTAAGGTGCCGGGCTTCGACTTTTTATTTGTGATTTCTTGTTCTTCTGTTTTCACGCCATTGATCGTATAGGTCGTAAACCACCATATGTGATGCCAGCTGCCTCGCCATCGGCGGCACCAGCTGAGCGTGTCGCACTGTGCGCCGCAGATGTTTGGCGTGCGGCCGCTGCGCGGGCAGTCTCGTCCGGTGCCGGCGCCGCTGCCGCTTCGAGGCCAGTCTCGTCCGGTGCCGGCGCCGCTGCCGCTGCAGTACAGTCGGCCTCTCCGACCGCGGCTGGCGCCGTCTGGCACCGGCGCGGGCGCCGCTCGCAACAGCCGGGCTCCCGAGGCCGAGATGCGCGAGATGGCCGAGCTGGAGGCGCAGGAGCTGGCCTCGTGCGAGGCCGAGACGGCCCGGCCGCACACGTGCACGCGCGACGGCCGCGTCACGCACGTGATGGGCTTCCAGCTGCCGCCCGAGCTGCAGGTGACTGTGGTATCCTGCGCAGCTCCGGCTCCGGCTCCGGCTCCGGCTCCGGCTCCGGCTCCGGCTCCGGCTACGGCTACGGCTCCGGCTCTGGCTCCGGCTCCAGCTGCACCGGCTCGGGCGTTGGCGCCGGTGCCGGTGCGGCCCGCTCGCCGCCCGCCGCCGGAGCTGAGGGCGCTCCGTCCATCGCCAACCGGACCATGGATACGCCAGGACGCGGCGGCCGCGAGGGTCGCCGGTCGGCCGCCGGCGCCGCGGCCGCCTCCGCTCCGTCCGCTAAGCCCCGCCGTGCCGGCTGACCGGCCGGGCGCGGCGGCGAGGGCGACGGCGGTGGCAGCGGCAGTCATGAGCGCTGGACGGAGCCTGCCGGAGTCGGACGCCGGTGGTCTGGTGGCGGGCGGACTGGAAGCGGAGAGGACAGGGGACGTGAAGCCCGGACGGACTGCGGTGGAGCATGTACTGCAGCATCCGGACCGGCAGGCGGAGGCGCCCGTGAAGCCCGAGCCGCCGGTCGGCGACGGGCCGAGAACTCCGGGCAGCGCGTGCAATCTGGACGAGGCGGACGCTGCGGGTCGGTCCGCGGTTTACACGGCGGAGGTGACGCCAAGCATGCACTCGAAGCAAGACAGCAAGCATCGGTCCGGGAAGGCGGACCGCATGAAGACATCCTCCGACTCCTCCTCGTGTCCACCCAGCCCTGGCGCGCCGAGGCGAAGGAGCAAGCACCGCCGGCGCCGGGAATCAGCGTCGGCAGAGCGAGCTGCGCCCGCGCCAGACCCGGCCCAGCCGCTGCCTAGGATCCCCACACTGCGCATCACCAGGAACAAGGACGACGAGTACTCTGTGCAGTCGAGCGACGCGCCTCCGCCGGATGACCGGCCCTCGTCGGCGCCGCCGCCGGCCCGGCCCAGGAAGAACGCCTCCTTCTATAGCTTCGAAGCGGACGAGACGCGCCACACGCGGCTCGGCGACGACGGCCGGCCGCGCTTCGTGTGCGACATCTGCCAGACGGTGTACCAGCGGCTGCACAGCATCAAGCGCCACTATTTTCGCGCGCACATCAACCACAAGTACGTGCACGAGAGCGACATGGCCAGCGCCGAGCTGACGGCGCTGCAGGACACGGCCGGCTTCCGCGAGGAGGGCGAGCGGCGTGACCGGTCACGCCTGCCGTTTTTATACTGCTGCTACGCCTGCCGAACGCTGTATGACTCGCTGGCCGAGGCCGAGCGGCACTGGCGTGCCGCGCACGCCGCAAGGCCACGCGAGCCGCCCGCCGGCAAGCGGTTTGACTGCGCCCAGTGCGAGCAGGGCTTCGCCACCAAGCGCGAGCTGGAGAGGCACGGCGAGGTGCACCAGAGCCAGACGTTCGCCTGCGGCTTCTGCGACCAGGTGTTCCCGTGCGAGTCCGTCAAGAAGCGGCATGAGAAGATCCACGCGCGCGGAGAGGCGCGCCCGGCCGAGGCCGGCGCTCAGCAGACGATCGCCAAAATCAACATTGGCGGTGTCAAGGTGAGCGTCGGCATCGGCAACCTGCAGCAGCTGCGCAAGATCCAGGAGGCGTGCAAGGAGATGTCGGAGACGAGCAACGGCGCCATCAGCCTCGAGTCGGCCGATCTGGAGGCGCTGGACCAGCTGGTGGAGGCCAAGCCGGCCAGCGAGCGCTACAACTACCCGTGTGCCGTATGCCAGAAGAGCTTCTCCACATACCGCAGCATGTGCTGCCACCAGCGGATGGCGCATCCGAGCCGGCCAATCCCCAGCAAGGGTCGGGCGGCGGTGCTGCGCTGCCCGGCGCAGGACGAGGAGGCGCTCTTGGAGCAGCGTGCCGCCGACCAGGCGCGCTTCCTCGCCGGTGTCGCGCGCAACGTGGCCGAAAACCTGGCCTCGTTCGTGGACGGCCGGGCCGCGACGCTGCCCTCCAGGCGGACGCCGGTGGCGGAGCTGCTTCCGTCCGACCTGCCGCCGCCGCCGCCGCCGCCGCCGCCGCCGCCGCCGCCGCCGCCGCCGCCGCCGCCGCCGCCGCCGCCGCCGCCGCCGCTGCCGCCGCCGCCGGCGCCGCTGCGCCAGCGCCAGGCGCCGCCGCTGGTCGGGCCCGGTCTGGACGTGGCGTCGCTGCTTTGGCTACGGGCCGGCCAGCGGTCAGCGCGCACCGCGCCACCGCCGCCCGCAGCCGGCCTGCTGGGCGCGCTGGCCCTTCGGCCTGCCGCCGCGCAGGCGCCGGCGCCGCCCACGCCGCCTTCGCCGCCGGCGCCGGAGCCGCCGCCGGCCGCCGCCTGCTACCGGGCGCTGACGGAGTGGCAGACGGCGCCACCGGCGACGGCCGCCGCTGCGCCGCTCAGCGGTGAGTGGGAGCGGCTGGCCTGCTTTCTGTGTCACGCCTGCGCCGCGGTGTTTTCCGGTCTGAACGAGCTGGAAGCACACAAAGCGCTGCAGCACCCGCACGTGCAGTGCGGCCACACCAGCCTACAGGAGGCGCCGCACGCGCTGGCGGCCGACGTGGCGCGCCAATTCGCCCGCGCGGCGCCGGCCGAGCGCGAACCGCCGCCACCGCCGGCGACCTGCGCACGCTGCCGATGCCGGTGCGCCTCGCCGTCCGAACTGCACCGCCACCTGCTGGAGTGCGCCGGCGACGCCGACTGGGACAGCTGGAGCCCGCCGCAGCGGCGACAGTGGCGCGGCCGCGGCGCGCGGCGCCGCCGCCGCTTGCAGATTCGCCGCGGCGTCGAGCGTTCGCTGTCCGCGCTGCAAACGCCACGGCTGGAGCGGCCGGCGAAGCCCAAGCCCAACAAAGGTACGTGCTGGGCGGCGCTGGTCCGGAGGGGTTCACGGGCCACCATCCCGGCTGACTGTCGCCCGGCGTCGCGCGTTGTTCTGCCGGGGTTACTGGCATTTGCCATTCGAACCTCTGACAAAGTATTTTAAAATTTGGGCATGCGTGCAAATAACCATTGCGGTTGGCGCGCCCTTGAAGCCCAATAACTAACTAACAACGTTACTTGTTACCGTGTGTGTGAGGTGGGGGGGGGGGGGGGAGATCTGCCGTCTGTAAGTTGGTTGGTTCTGTACCGTTTTACTGAGGCGGGCTTAGAGGCTCCTGTGGTGGAGCAGTTGTCATCTTGATCGCGAAACGCGCTATAAACTCTGGGCGTTGGTCGCAGGGCGAAATAGCAATCTTCTGAGCATTATCACTAACGTTTTGTGGCTCCGCGGAACATGAAGGCAAGTAAGCCCCAAGCTGGAAAACATTCGCCGCGCGCTGACTGACCACTTAACTCAGCATGCCACCGTGCGTATGGATACGACCGACTGACCTTTTCATCTTGTTCAAGAAACGTGTCCAAAAACGAGTGTCGCAGTTCCGTCACATAATTACTGTCTTGTAGTAATATAAGTATTACCATCCTTTCCCAGCCTGGCGTTCCTATCGTGTGTGGTGGCTATTGATACGGCACCTGAAATGAGACTCCAGTTACGCAACCCCCCGCGTGCCCGTGGTGCTGCTCGACCGACAGCGGCACAAGCCTCGCTCAATTGAGCTAATCCATGGACTCAGCTTAATATATTTGGTTTTGAATTATTGGCCGGAGTGGAATTCAGATTAAGACTAGGGCTCCACTTCTGATTAGAAACTGGGTCACGGACATCAAGTTTTAGTGGCGTCTCCTGTCAAGAAGTTACACAGACGAAGCATGAAATTAGAAAGCTATGGGTGTCTTATGATCCGCCGCCGTGGCGTAATCCCCCCCTGGGAGATGGCTTAACCCCAGCGCTGTCGGCAGTTGAAGACGTCTGTAGGGCTTCTGAAATATACAAAGGCAGGAGGTATCTCGAGCCATTTAGTTGAATCCCCAGGCTATCAGGCGCAGCAAAATGTCCTCTGTCGTTATTGCGCCCTTCAGCGCAATCACCATCATCAAGATCGCGGGCCTTCAAAATCCTTTATCTCCGAGGCGAAATCCCAGCTACGGCACTGTCCCGCTGTGACTTGCTGTTCGTAGGTGGTGTGTGTTGCGGCGGCATCGACCCGGCCAGGACGCGGCCAGAGCGGGGTCATCATTTCGCCCCAGTTTGTCTCCCTAAGGGGACTGGACGTTTTTAGCGTGCCACGCAAAGCAATGAGGCGCTGCTTCGTGGTAAAGGCTCGCGCTCCTCGTCTGTAAGGAATACATCCGAGAGTGGACTGAAACCCGACCATGTGGCGCGGCGCTTCGAGCCGGCTGCGTGTTTCATTCACTGTGATACGGGACCCGTTCGCTGAACCCGGCACCATCGGCGGTTCTTGGACGCCGCTTATCCTACCGAAGCTCTGCTAAAACAATACATGGGCCTTCCATCCGATGGAAGGGGCGGAGCATTCAGCCACGAAGGCGTGGCCTTGGAAGTCATGGAAAATGCATGTTTCTCGCCGCCGTCCCTGCTATCCGAGCACCCAAATGTCGGAATTATTCTACGGTCGGTTATGATCACCGCGACTGACAACAAAACATCTCTCTTGCCATCGTGTGCGTATGTACACTGATTCGTCACCATCGCGTGACCCTACAAGAAGGCCTTCTGTGACTGCATGTGCAGGAATGACAGCGGTCCATGTGGTCCACATGGACGTGATTACCGTGCTACGGGAAGCGTGTTGAGCAGCGGGATCCGGGAGCGCCAAGCTCCCGAGGCCCGTTCCTGTTTCGTCGGGCACTCGCCCGCGCGTGTTACCCGCACCGGTCGCCACGTCGGCAAAGTATCGACCCGACGAAGGTGGTCAGCGGCGTGAAACAGCGCCCCCAGTGTCTGTTGGGGCTTCACTGCCGCCAAGCAGCTCGGCGCTCCCCACCATCAGTTGGCGCTGTGTCGGATTACGTGGATGCTGCTGACGCACTGAGTGCCGGTACCGCCCGCCGGCGTAGGCTGGCTGATGGCCGGGTTTCGCTCGGCTGAACCACCGTAATGGTTTCGCGTGTAGTTCGTGGACGAAGGCTTTACCGACGAAGCCGGTAATGGTAATGGCTTTACCGAGCCTGGAGCACCGAATGAGGCCACGTGGTGGTTAGGGTATATATTAAAAATGCAAGGTCTTAGTACCACTGTGCCAGCCTGGGATCGCTATGCCATTACCTATTCTTGTTGCCTTGGCCCGGTATATTTTTATGGTTCTTGATGCTGCCTGATGAGCAGTAATGTTGTGGCCGCGCGCAGTAATGGCGCCGGTGTCGCGGGTGCTGTATGCGTGCGGCGCCCGGGAGCTCGCCATCGTAATTATAAAAATTTGAAGGTAAGAGCATGAATCTACCTGTTTTGTGATTATTTACGGTATGTCCTGCCTTAAACACGACGAATGGTGTACAATGATTTTGTCTAACGGTAGGTAGGAAAGTACACCCTGACCGCTAGCCTGCATAAAAGCATATAAATATACTCTCAATGATCTGTCATGTAGAGAGCCTGTTCCGAATGACGAGTACAGCAGGCTGCTCATGACTGGATCCATGAATGGTCGTTTTTCAGTGCTCAATGATAGCTCGTGTTTACTTCACATGTTTTCTTAAGCTCTGAAAGCTAAGGTCTGCACAGCCCCACCTTCAGTGCCCAGGATATGCTTAGTAAGCACAGACATTATGTACTTACTATTTACATGATCCCGTCCACAATCGCTATGCAAAAAAAGCCTCCATGAGTGGAACATTTTAGGATGAACCTGAACACTGAAGGAACTGATGAGTGGAAGAAAGCTTCCTTCACGGAATTTATCAATTATGGACAACATTGCCACCAAAACCAGCCCTAGTCCGGCACGTATTTCCACAATGCCACACACATCGACAAAACGTGTCGCTGTTTATTGCGTAGCACGGAGATTTACAAACAGCGCGTCGATGGCAAAAACACGCGCAGCGGCCGACGCAACTAAATGGTGGTGCTGAAAAGTGGCTGCGCACCACCGTAGGCGAGTCGACGGGCAGTGGTCTCGCACAAATTCTTTGCGGACGGGGAGCTGTCTCCACTTTCTCTCTCTCTATCCTTGAACACTGCCAACCGTACTCTTCCTTTGTTCATGGTCGTCATTGGGGATTTAGGACACACTCAGCTGGTTCGGCTAGATGGTGTCAACTGCCGCTCATCTCGGCGGAGACGCGAGCACCGCGGGTACTCGAACCCCGCGCCCAGACGCGTTAACCACTGCACCACCGGCGCCTGTCTCTTTGCTTTCATATCCTGATATGCGTTGCTTTTCAACCAAAGCGTCATAGTTGTAGGTGGAGGTAGTCTCCCCAAAATGGTAAGCTTACGTGGCTGGTTTGATGTCGAACCAGGCAACTGAAAACTTACATATTATTTTGTTTTAATCGATGGCAGTTCGGGTGAATGTAACACATACTCAAAACATAAGACGTCTGTTCATGGCTGCCAAAATTGTGTCAAGTTTGGTGGCCGTTGTCCTGGCAACGGGACGCACAAATCTACGCCACTGCCAAATGTGCAAACTACGACAAAGGTCACGTGAAGGCTTTGAGAAACTGGCTTAATGTGTAGTTTGTAAAATCAAAAGCACACATTAATACTTGGCGTAAGATTGAACTTTCGCTTTGAGAAACTGGCTACAGCGAGGCAGCTTCCCCAATTAACTTCTGTTTTTCTAAAATTTGCTGTAGCAAGTTTTAGCAAGCAAGGAAACATCATAATGTTTCCAACCAGCGCAGGCACTACAGGTGATGCTGCTGCCCATATCTCACTTTGAACGTATCTGGAATACAACTTGCATGGACATAGAATGTATGGTATACATAACAAGTATTGTGGCAGCCACAAATATTTCTCTCAATTGTGATGTATTTTAATGTTCTTGCAAAGGAAGCTTCTTGACCAGGCAGTTTGGCATTATCTTTTGGTCTTGGCATGCCCTACCCAAGGCTTCTTGCCTGAAAGACTGGAACGCTCACTATTACTCGCTCACATTCAAGCTTCATGCTCTGTTATGCCTTTAGCAGCTGTTGCATGTTGTTTAGGCTTGCCACTGCAGCAATATGTCTCTCAACAAGTAGCAGTCCTAAGGCCAGTGTTATGATCTACGACACAAATGCTTGCGTTGATTGCATTGCCAAATTCATCAAGGACTTACCAAAATTAAGCTCTGTCGTACATTTGTTCTTGGCTTTGAGAAACTCATGCAAGATTGTTTGCGTATATTTGTGTCATAGATTGTACATTTTCCGTGTATTTTTTCAGTGTCGTAGATTGTAGTTGTAAGTTGTACATTTGTGCTTTGAGAAACTGGATTTTACAATTGTACGCAAAAAATATACGATTTACGCCAAAAATTTACGAATTTCTGTTTTGAGAAACTGGCTGCTGGGCGCAAATCTGAACGACCAGGCATAGAAGGTAGACATGTGGAGTGTTTCCGTGTTTCGCAGACACTGGTGAATCATGCCATTTTGGGGTAAGTGTTTTGGAAAAAATGTAGCAAAATGGGATGAAGTTGGCTGCTAAATACTATTAAACTCAGTCACGATAATTGTTCCAGGCATGTTGCTAGCTATCGCCATACATGGTGAAAACGCTAGAGAAAAATAGCATCTATAGCACGTTGGCCTTCCTACCCTGAGTAGGTTAAAGCGAAGCCAATAACTTTTAGACAAATTTGAGTTATAATTCGTGACGACCCAAATGACGTCGCATGACGCGAGTAACGCGTTGGTGATGGTGGCCAAAGTAGCTGAAGGCAGCTAAATTGTGATGCGTGATGCCGAGAGTTGGGGTCAACTCTGCGGACTGTGTAAAAATGCCTGGTGTGCCGTTGCA